GGCTGTCCCAGGGGGGTCCCTGCCCCGGGGCCTGGAGGCATCTGGCTGGCTTGGGGGGCTGGAGCTGCCCGCAGCACTGTTGCACCCTGTAGTAAGACCTCCTACGCGGTGGTTTGGAGGGATATGGCCTTTCTTTGCTCACTCTAAACCCCTGGATTCATGCTCTGGTTTGCTCTCTCCTGTCTCTTCCACGGCTCGTCTGAAGGTCTGAGCCCAGATGAACCCTCACCCAAGCTTCTGCCGTGTGCCATCCCGTGCCCCCGCTCGTCTCTCCCCAGGCTTCCTGCATGTGCTGCCCATAATTAAATTCCCCTTTCCCAGGGGCTCTGCTAAATGCACAGGCACATCCTCTCCCGCTGCCTCACCAGAGCCAAGGGCTGGGCTGACCGGCAGCACGGGAGAAGCGCTGGGTGCCCTGCGTGCCCCCTGCAAGGCTGCTGCGTTCTGCTGCCAGGCTACCCCAGGAGAAGCAAAAGCTTGAGGCTGGGGCCAGGGGGTCATTGGTGGTTGATACAAAGCAGTGGCTTGGGGGGGTTTTGTGCGCTTTGGTGAGCAAAAGGCGTAGGGCCATGCTTGCAGCATCCCCTGTCGACGCGGCACCATGCAGCCCTGACCCGTGGGGTCTCCGGGGGCTGTGCTTGCAGCTAGGCTGGGGCACTGCCTGCCTTGCTCTGGCTGCCGTCACGTCCAGAAAATGAGGTTTTCTTGACACATTATGGAGAGGGGAGACAGGCAAACACCATGCTTTCCCATGGGAGAGTAGCCCAATGCCCCTGTTCCTCTTGCCCCAGAGGAGCCACGCCGGGTGCGGGGCAGCCTGGTCGGTGTTCTCAACACCCACGAGCTTGGCGTTGCCACCCTTGATGCCCGCGTGCTGGACGCACTCGGGCACCGTCGCCGTCCGGAGCAGCATTGGCAGCATCCCGCCCACCGTAGGTTCGTGGTCACCCCTGTCCTCCCCCCAGGGGAGGATGAAGGCCAGGTGAAAATCTTGGGGGGAAGATTTTTTTCCCCCAAAAGCAGCATCCCCTGTCTCTGCTGGACCCTGTGGGCGAGGGGTGCCGCGGTGGCTGGGGAGGGCTGGGTGTCCCCTTGGGAGGGGCTGGCTCTGCAGTGACACCTTTTCTCCATCACCCCCAGGGCCGCTGATGAGGGTGCTGGTTGCCACCATCGCCCCAGTTTACTGGTCCTTGGCACACGCCGGCAGGGATGCCCAGAGCGGGTTCCTGCTCACCCAGGGCACCTTCCGCCATGAGTCGCAGCTGGAGTTTGCCACAGGTGAGGGGTGCCAGGGACCCCTGGCCACCACCTCCCCCATGACCCATCCCCGGGCACCCAGCCCAGTGCTGGGCTGAGCTTGGCAGCCAAAGGGCATCGGCGCGGCCGCGTTGCTCCTGCAGGTGCCAGTGCTGCCCGTCCTCCCTGCGGGGCTATGACTCCCATGCTGGGTTCCTGGGGGGGTTCATAGCCTGAGCCCCCCCTCCCTGCCTCTCCCCAGGACTTCAGCGAGCGCTACGTGCAGACGGGCACGGGGCAGCTCTCGGGGAGCTCGGTGCAGAGCTTCCTCTGGGATGGGCACATCACCCGTGTCCGCTGCAACCACACCATCGTGTATGACCCCCCCGAGGGCTCACAGCCCCCCCGGGTGCAGCATGTCCGGGCCAGCGCCGTCAAAGCCTCCTATGACCCAGCCTCAGAGCAGCTCCGCTTCCAGCTCCGTGCCTCGCTTGATGCAGGTGATGAGAGGATTCCCAGGGATGGGGCCGGAGATGCTGGGCTCCCTTCCTGGTCCTGGGTGGCGGTGGGGATGTAAAGGGTATGTCCCTGCGGTGACATGTCCCTTCTCTGCGTGATTCCCAGGGGCAGACGGAGACCAGTGCCCGCTGGGATTCATCCTGGGCCCCCAGCAGCTGTACTGCGTTGGTATGGACCATTCCCAAGGGGAGCGTGAGGATGGTGAGGGGCACCCACTGCGTGGTGCCACCTCCCCGTCCCCCCAACCCCGTGCCCTCTCTGCTCCCCAGATATCGACGAATGCGCCGAGGAGTCCCACGCCTGCCGCTACAACCAGCTCTGCCAGAACGCGGCCGGGACCTACCGCTGGGCCT